GCAGGCACACTGGAATGTAGCTGAACTCCTCCCCTTTCGATTCATTACTCGTTGTAATAGTTTTTGAGACGTTTTGACAGAATATGGTTGAGTTGACTGAAGCGCTGCAATCGGGCGCGGCTCGCCCGGCTCCGGCTGCGGCGCGCCGAGGCCGGTGGTGGAGGGCCGGGCCTCGCTACCGCATGGGGTCACTCAGAAGTGCCTCGTTGCTACCCCCTGGCTCAATCAGCTGGCTGAAATGTCGGGTGTGAAGAAAGATTCCACAACTACCCCTGTCCTTCGAGTGGCTCAGGATTACCGTCAGATTGCCTTGGAGGTCAGGCGTAGGTTGACCATCTGCCAGCGCAGTTCGTCGAACTTGACCAAGGTATTGAACCGTAGAACTATAGATATAGTTAATGAATTGGTTATTTCCCCGACTGCCCGCAAAGTACTTGAAGGCGAGATGAGAAATTTCAAAAAAAAAAAGCAAGCCAGGCGCTGGCGTCTGAAGGAAAAATTATTCTGGCTCTCAGTCTATAAGAGGATTACTATAGATCCTATAGATTCTTGGCACAGCACTTGACCTTGCCAAGCGAGTCAGTGCTGAAATCTCTCCTCAATCAATTACATCTATCACGAGGCATCTGGGAGCCATTTCTTGGTGTCCTAAAAAGAAAAGTCAGTGGTTTGTCACCGCAGTCAAGACAATGTACAGTGCTTTTTGACGAGGTGTTCTTAAGAGGCCGTTTATTTTACATGGCAAAGCAAGACATGGTCGATGGTTTTGAAAACTACGGCCAGAGAGGGAGGACCAACTACATAGCGGACCATGCTCTTGTCTTCATGTTGCAGGGGTTGCACTTGAAATGGACTCAGCCAGTTGCATATTATTTTGTAAGCAAGTCCTGTCCCTCTGCCATGCTAAAACTTCTGATCAGTGATGTAGTACAGGCACTCACCTCAATTGGCCTTGATGTGAAGGCCACCATATCTGATCAGGGTCCTACTAACCAGAAGGCTATTGCTGATCTGCGCAGAGAAAGTGGGGACAATATCATGTATAGTGTTGCTAGACATAGACTTGTTTATTTAGGCCTATGGGACTTTCCACATATCCTTCAAAATGTGAGGAACAATCTCGTATCACGTGATGTGGAATTTGATGGCAAGGTGGCCATTTGGTGCCAATTAATTGAGTTTTTTTAAATATGATCAGAGCTTGGGCAGCATGAGCAAGTTGACCATGAGG